TTGATTCTGCAAGCTCTTAACCAAAACCTGCTGCTGTGGAAAGCACGTGCACACAGGTGAGCTCGGAGCAAGGAGCTGGGTCACCATTCTGGGAGTGGGATGAGCCCCCCTCTGCAGCACCCACTGCACCCCAGTCCCTGCTGGGTGCCCTGGCTTTCACTGCCCAAATTGCATGGATTGCACTTATTTTTTCAGCAGAGAAACTCCCAGACCTGTTTTCCTCCCACCCCACCCCACCGGTGGGGATTCTCTGATGTCCTGTAGCACTGGGGCTGCTGGTGACCCCCCTGAGGGGGCCCTTCCTATGGTTTCCCTCCTGTTTCAGGGGACAGGAGCAGCCCTGAGGAATCTGCCCCTCCGTCAGATGGGATTGAAGTGCCATTGAAGCCGGAGAGCCGGCACACAGACAGGCTAAAAATATTCCCAAGCTTCTGTGATCTTTCCTCCCTGTCGGCCCCTCCCCACCGGCCTTTCCTGCTTTATGCCACAATTCCACGGGCTTTTCAGCAGCTCTGACAGGCTGAGAACAAACCCTGGGAATAAACCCCAGGCCCGGAGCCCTGAAAAGCCCCTTAGGGTCCCGGGAAAGGGAAAGGATGAGGGAGCTGGGATGGGAGTGAGGGAAACAGGCTTTTCGAAGTGGGGGATGCAGAGATGCCGAGTGGATTTGAGGGGGGCTGCAGCAAAGCCAGACCTACCCCATGGAAAATCCCTGCCCATCTCACCCCGGTTTATCGATAATTCGGTAATAGACCCAGTTCGGTGTCATGGGTCGGGCGAGGAGCCGGGAATTCGGTGCGGGGAGGCGATCCCGCCTTTCCGTCCAGCATTCCCGAGGAATCTCACAGGCTCTAATCGCATCCGGCTGCTGCGACTCGATGCTAAAGAGGCTGCAGGGTTAAAGGCAGCTGTAAATACTGCGGGGTAGATTAGCAGAATATACCGTATCAGCACTGCCGGCAGAGCACCGAGCCCGGGGGATGCTTCCCTGCCGGATGCACGCTTGGATTTTCGTGATGGTTCCAACACTTGGGTATTCAGGCTGGATTTTCTCTCTCTTTCCAGCCTCGTTGGACTTAAATCTCTTGAAACTCCTTTTTTTTTTTTTTTTTTTTTTTTTTAATTTTTCGTCCTTGCTGACTTCCCAGGCAAAACCTGGCAGGGTAAATAGAGAGGGAGATTTGAGGGGCCAGTTAAATATACTAAATACCCTGACACCCCCTCACAGCTAAAATCCAATGGCAACACCCCCTCTGGGAGCATTCCTGCAGGCATTCCTGCTCCAGCTCCCATGGCTATGTGGCACTGCCAGCATGATCAATGGGCCATCCTGCTCCCAGACACCACCTGGATACTGAGCTGGGGTGCCCCTGGCCATTCCCAGGGATGCTCCCCCTTTCCCTGGAGCCAGCCGAGGATGCTCAGCACCATCCAGGGATGGCAGGGATGGATTTCCCAGCTGGGATGGGTGAAGTTGAGGCTGTAGGGGGGATCACTTCCTCATGGGGTACATCCAAGCAAATAGGAAAGTGGGGCAGAATCAGGGCAAAACCCCTGAGAAGGGGTCCTAATATGTGCTCAAGCTTTTAATTATAAACCCGATTAAAGCACAGACTTGATTACGTCTCTGTGAAGTGGGTCTTTATGGCCAAAAATCAGGTGGAATTCTCCTAAACGGCCCAGAAAACGCTGGAGGGGGTCCCTCCATCCTGGTTGCTTCCATGGTGGGGTGACAGGGACATGTCCACCCCAGCCTGGATGGGGAGGGAGGAAGAGCTCCCTCAGAAATCCCCGTGAAATGCAGGAACCGGAGCAAGGTCCAGCTCCTCGCCGGAGTTTATAGCAACACACCGGCTGTTGTGGCTCCGTGCCGGGGTTTCTTTATTTAATTTCTTCCCCTTATGGGCTGAGAAACCATCCCCAGCCCCAGCACAGCCCGCTCACAGTAGCTGGGATTTGTTTTCCTCTCTCGTCCGGGGAGGAATTTCTAAATCCCAGCTGCAGCCAGAGCTGGAGCCCTGATGCTGTGCCAGGTGTAATCGAGCAGCGGTGACGCCCCTGTCCCCAAATGCACCCCACGAGGCTCGTGGTCAGTGCTGAGGTCCCCACGCTGCTGCTTCAGGGTGAATTTTCCTAGCAGGACATCCCAAAAATCCCTAAAAGTGGGTGCTGAGCACCGACAGCACAGCCCCAGGGGATTCACAGCTGATCCATCAGCCTTTGGGAAACCTGAGTGGGATGCGGAGACCCGGATGGGTTTAGTTGTTATTCTGTTGCTTTGTTCGTAATTTTTATGCCATTAACAAAATCTCAGAGGGAAACTCTGAGATAAGAGAGCTCCCACATCCCTGTGCCCATCCCTGCCCAGTAACAAAGCTGGTATTGAAAGGCTGGGATGGGACATACTTGGATGGTGATAATGCAGGATCACAGTGAGCCGCTGCTGTTTCCCGTCCTCTTCATATAAACACATCCAGTGCGAGAAAAATCTGTCTGTTTTATGGGAATGGTATTTTCAGTCATAGCCACAACACCCTTTTTTTTTTTTTCCCCTAAAAGAGATAGGCCTAGTGATGCCATTAGCTCGGTTAAACCGTATCCAAAAAAAAAGAAAAAAAGCAAACCAAAAACAAAAAGAATTTTATTTATTACATTTTTCCATCTTCCGCTTCTTGGGACCTTGAGGGAGATTAATTCCAGGACTGTTAGAGAAATGTCACCGGAGTCTTGGGGCTTTTCCTTTCCCGAAGAGGAGAGACAAGACCGGACACTGGATAAGCTCCATCTTTCCGAGCCCTCCCCACGTCGCAGAGCCTGGGATGGCTCATGCAGAGCGTGGATTTTCCCGGAGATTTTCCTTTGGCCATGGGAGCCTCTCACGTTGGTATGAGACGAGACATTTCTCCTGGGCTCCAGAGCAGCATTAGCACGCGCGCCATCCACGTCGGTGTTTATATATCGCCTCGCTGGCATTCGAGAGCTCTTCCTGCTGCTTTATTTAGCCTCTGCGGCAAGGCAGGCGCTGGGATTCTGTATTCCTGTATTCCATGAGGCCGGGGGAGGATGTGATGGGGCAGGGAATGCGCTCAGCAGGACCAGTTCGTCCTCTTCAGCGCCGCAGCGGTGGGGCCGTGTCCCGCTCGTGCCTCCCCAACCTTTAAATTGGGATAAATGAGCCAAATGGCAGCTTTGCCTGGTTATCCCCCTGTGTTAGCAGCAGGATGGGTTTTTCCAGAGTGAATTCTGGGGGAAAAAGGACATTTCTGGCTGGAATGATGGGCCCTGCTTGGACACGCTGCCCGTGCCCTCGGCATCGGTGGCATTTGGCCTCGGTGGCTTTGCAAGGACTGGATGCCACAGAGGCAGGAGCTGTTGGGTAGAAACACTCTCCCAATTCCACATGGCATGGATGGGAGCACGAGAGCGGGCCCAAAGCCGAGGGTTTTCCAGCCCCTGCGGAAAGCCAGGCTGTTTTTTTCCATGAGGAGAGCAGCGCGTTGGATTCCCACTGCTGGTACCGTGCACTCACATAATGTAATTACCCAGCCCGATCTGTTGAGCTGCAAACAGATTTCAGCAATGAGCGTCGGGGTGTTCACAGCAGAGCTGCTCTTTATTTAGGCCTGGGAACAAGCGGCTGTTCCCTCCCGGAGCCTCGTAGAGACTGCGGGGGCCGAGCCGGCCTCGCAGGTCATCCCGAAAAATGCCTGTAGACACTTGAAAGTGAGGAATAAATAACTACTCCAAAAACAATCTCGCCAGATGGCACTTCTGAAGAAGGAGCAGGCTCGGAGATGCTTTGCTGCTAATTTATGGTGCTGCTGCTGTTGCTATTCCCGTCCTGGGTCACCTATGGAGAGGGATCCGTGTGTGCATCGGCTCCGTTACGTGCACTGAGGGGCGGCTGGGCCCAACCCACCTTTATCCAGCTGCCAGGGCAGCAGCGAGGCATTTAATGGGAATGGGATTTGGCCCTAATTCTGCTCCTGCCTCAACCTGACTCCTGGTTGAGAACTGCCTTTATGTGCCAATGGCACAGCAAGGGCTGGGGATGCAGGGATGGGTGCAGGGGGTGTTTGGGCTCCACTCTACAGGGATGTTTGAATCCCCACAGGGGACATGTGACTCTCTTCCCTGGAAGATCATAGACTCCCAGAATGGTTGGAATTGCAAGGGACCTTAAAGACCACCCAGTTCCAAACATGTTCCACGGTCAGGGACACCCTCCACTAGCCCAGGTTGCTCCAAGCCCCATCCAACCTGGCCTGGAACATGTCCAGGGATGGGGTAGCCACAGCTTCTCTGGGCATCCTGTGCCAGGGCCTCTCCACCCCCACAACCAACAATTCCTTCCCCATATCCCACCTAACCCTGCCCTCTGTCAGTGGGAAACCATTCCCCCTTGTCTTGTCACTCCATCCCTTGTCCAAAGTACCTCTCCACTCTCTTGGAGCCCCTTTAGGCCCTGGAAGGGGCTCTCAGGTCTCCCTGGAGCCTTCTCTTCTCCAGTCTGAACCCCCCCAGCTCTCCCAGCCTGTCTCCAGAGCAGAGGTGCTCCAGCCCTGGGAACACTTTCCTGACCCTCCCCTGGACCCCGTCCCCACAGGAGGATGCCCAGCTCCTCTCCTAAGCACCTCTGAGTGGGTTTACCCTCTGTCGAGTCTTGGATCCCCCTCCCCGCTCAATTCTCCCAAGGACAGTTCCCGTGTTCCCTGCCGGGGGATGCTCAGGCTCTTTCCAGAGCCTGTTCGTGAATCCCCCCCAGGAACACGGGACCGGGGCGAGGGGTGCCCGACTTCCCACGCCTCCCCCGGGGCCAACACTTCGGGTGCCCTCCCCGGGCCACCCCGTTCCCTTCTCGTTCCCCCGCTGTCCCGGGGACCGCGCCGGGGCGGGAGGCGGTGCCGGTGCCGCTCGGGGCGGTGCGGGGCGGCCCGGGAAGGGGCGGGGGCGGCGGCATGGGCTGGGCTGGGCTGGGCTCGGCACGGCTCGGCTCGGCTCGGCACGGCGGGGTTCGACAGGGCTCGGCAAGGCAGCGCGGTCCCCGGAGCCGCAGGTAGGTGCGTGCCCGGCGCCCCGCACCGCGCTCCCGGCTCGGCTCATCCCGGCGCGGCTCCGTTCCGTTTGGCTCGGCTTGGCTTGGCTCGGCTGGGCTCGGCTCGGCTGGGCTCGGCTCGGCTCTGCTCAGCCCGGCCCGGCTCAGCCCGGCCCGGCTCGCCCCCGCGGGTGGGCCCGGCACGGCCGCTTGTTGCGCTCGGGGGTGAGTTGGAGCCGGAGCGGAGCGAGCGGCCCCGGCTGCAGGAATGCGAGTCATTTCCTCCGCCCGCCCGCGGGAGCTGCGGCCGAGCGGGGCCGGGCTGCCCCGCCAGACCCCCCCACGGACCCCCACGGACCCCCACGGCCCCGCCACGGCCACACCGGACCCGCTCCGGTGCAGGGTGCGCTCCAGGGACGCGCTAGTCCGCGGGACCCCTCGCCCATGGCTCACACTCGCCCACGGGTCCCCTCGTCTGTGGGACCCCTCACCCCTGCGTCTCACATGTCCACGGGTCCCCTTGTCCCTGGGTCACACTCGCCCACGGGTCTCACTCACCCACGCGTCCCCTCGTGCCTGGGTCACACTCACCCACGGGTCTTACTCACCCGTGGGACCCTTTTCCCCTGGGTCATGCTCGCCCACGGGTCCTCTCACCTTTGGGACCCCTTTCCTCATGGATCACTCTCCCCCACGGGTCCCCTTGCCCGTGGGTCACAGTTGCCCACGGGTCCCCTCATCCCTGGGTCACACAATGACCCGCAGGACCCCTCGCCCATGACACCCCTTGCTCGTGGGTCACACTCACCCACAGGTCCCTCTGCCCACGGGTCAGTTGCCCACGGGTCCCCTCATTCCTGGTTCACAGTCACCCACGGGTCCCCTTGTCCCTGGGTGACACCCACCCAAACATCCCCTTGCCCATGGCACGCCTCACCCCCTGGATCACACTCACCCACCCATCCCTTCACCCACGGGCACCCTCACCCGTGGTTCCCATCATCTCTTGGCTCCCTTACCTGTGCTCCTCCCTCTCATCCATGGATCCTCCTGTTTCTGGGTCACAGGCACCCGTGGGACCCCGTTGTCCGTGGGTGCCCCTCACCCCGTGGGGGTGCTGGGGGTGCCAGCTGGTGGTTCCTGGTAGTGTCACTGATGGTCTTCTCCATGTTTCTCACCGGGGATGTGAATCCCTGCCATGTTCTGGAAGCGGTGGGGATAAATCCATGCCGCTTCCTAAATCAGGCTTTATCTGACACCGTGCCCTCGTGGCAGCAGGGAAACCAGGGCTGAGGTTTCCCAGGCTGGAGCTGAGGTTTCCCAGGACCATACTTGGTGTTCCCGTGTCCTTTGACTCACATGTGGGAGTAAGGCACGTCCTGGCCCCTCCGTGCCCCCCACTCCCCGCCACCTTCACTGTCGTCTCCCATTCCTGAATCCCCCCTTTTCTGCCCATGTCCAATGCTTTTCTGGCCATGAGGATGTTTTTTCCCCTAAGCCAAACTCTGCTTTTCCAGAGATAATTTTCCAGAGATGCTTCAGCATGGCACTGATGGAGCTTTGCTGCTCTCCCTAATTCCGGGCTGGTTTGTGTTGGTGTTTTTCCACAGGGCTCGCTCACCCTCTCTGATTCTTGGATAGAGCTGGGATTAATTTGAGCTCTCTTGCTTGAAGGCGATGTTCCGTTTAAAATTCCCAATCCCGAAGGCGTGTTGGGGTTTGGTTGTAGGTACTGGATTTTTACTATCGTTTTTTAAAGGAGTTTCTTTTTTTAAACTGGGTTTATTCAGGCTCTTTAAACCCCGAGTCTGTAAGCAATTATTCCATTACATGAAAGTCAGGACGCTGAGAAAGATTAATTCAGACCAGATGTAAAAATAAATGGGAATTTGAAATTAAGATGATGTCAGTTCCCTCCTGCTAAAAAAAAAACCCGGCAGCCTTTGGACTCCAGATGGAGTATACAAACCATGGCGCTGGTTAAAATATCTGCCTGCTCCTTAATTGAGTTTTAGGCTGCTTTTTTTTTTCCTCCTTGACTGAAAAGTGGGCTTAGGTTATTTTTCCTGAAGAGGTTTTCCCCATTGCTGCTGGGGCAGGGAAGTTGATGGAGGCTGTGGAGTGGCTGAGGAGCTTTCCCAGCTGGAAAACTGGAAGGCGGTGCTGCTGGGGGAAGATAAATCCCCCTCTGCCCACTCCAGGATTAAAAAAATAAGGAACTTGGTTTGGCTTTGTTTTGCTGGATTTGGAGCGGGAGGCGAGGACGCCACGGAGGGCAGTGGGGGCTCCGGATAGTCCAGGCTTGGGTTTGTGTGTTTTGGCATAAAATGGAGCTGGTTTTTGGGCTCTGGACTGTCTGCAGAGCACTTCACATCCTCCCTCTATTTTTACTCTCCCTGTGCACCGAGCAGCGCACGTTCCCCAGAGTGGGAATGGGTTTGGGCTCTGATCCCATGTTGAGGAGTGTGCCTGGGAGCAGGATCCTGGGAAGGGTTTGCCCGGGGTCAGAGCGTCTTGGGGGTGTGTTATTATACAAAATAACATGAATATTCGTAATTGCATATTATGAATATTAATAACCACACAACGCTATTAATTCAATTATATCGTTAATTATACTTAAAATATCGTTCTAATTCATAAATAGGGAGGTCCATGGTTTGGAGAATCACGGCTGTGCTTTCTGTGGCGCAGGGATTCGGGACGGTGACTCTGGCCCTTAGGGCTGCTTTGTGGTCCAGGGATCCCGCAGCCAAATCCCAAGGGATTTATGGCAGCTGCTGCTGGTGTGGGCTGCAGCCTGCCCACGGAGAGGGGAGCAAAGGCAATTCTTCACATCCATGTGCATCCTTCAGTGTGATGCCTGTGGTCCTGAGAGAGGGATCGGACTCTGGGAGGTTTGGGCTTGTTGACACTGGGGGATGGTTCATAAAGTTCCTGGGAATGCTGGGGGACAGGAGCTGGAGTCGGCTGGGAGAACTGGGCTGTCCTGAGCACGACCCTCTCCAACCCAGTCTTGATATTGTTCTAATCCCAACGGCTCAGGCAAAGTTTGCCGGAAGGAAATACGATGGAAGGGGCTGGTTCTATAGCAGGAGAGGGAAGAGGAAAAGCAGGCGCCGTCCCTCCCTCGCTGGAGCCTTTGCCAGGAGAAATCCATCTCCGTGTCCATCCTTGGCGGAGGCTGGGACGCTTTATTTATATTATAGTGCTCCAAAGTAAGGCAATGAAGAGGCCTGGGATGGCTCTTCCTCGGGTTGAATGGAAAATCTGCCCTTCCAGGCTGGATTCGGCTCCGTGCACAACAGAAGAATGAGCAGGGGAGCAGTTTCCTGAGCTGCCGTGGCTTGGCCTGTGTTTTCCTACGGAATGTGATGTCCCATGGGGCTTGTCCCCAGCAGGACAGGACAGAGGGGCCATTATCCCATTTTTGGGATGATGCACATGGCTCAGCCATCCCCGGGTGTCCCAAGCACCCGCTCTGCCCATTGCTGTTATCCCGTTGCAACAGGCAAAGGAGAGGAGGAGGAGGAGGAGGAGGAAGAGGAGGAAGAGGAGGAGTGTTGCAGAGGTGGAGACAGGCGAGCTCCTGGGGGAACCTTCCCTGGAGAGGCTTTTTGGATACCCCCAGCACTTGGGGGTATCTGCTGGGGCTGGTGGGGGCTGGCCCCCGGCTGCCCAGGCTGAGTTTCCAGCATCCAAATAGCTTTTGTGGCGGATGAAGTAATGGAATATTTATAACCGAGTCCTTTTTCCCAGTGAAGATCTCTTTCATCTGCCTCCCTTCATTAGGAGGAAACTGTTGAGTTCATGAAGAATTGGAGACGATTTTAATTACGGGGCAACCGCAAGCAGGAATTAATCTGGCTTTTGGGTTTGGAGAAGCTGCATTAAGTGACGGCCTTGAAACTTGTAATAACAGCTCTGCACATACCTGAGCCCTATGATGTGGGGTGAGACCCACTCCAAACGCTTAAAAACCAGAAATTCCTGCCCCGTGAATTCACCTTCCCATCTCCCTCTGCGCTCTGGGCAGCCTCTGGCTGCGGGATGGTGCCTACGTGTGGGTCCTGTGCTGGATCCCTTCCCTCGCCCCTGTTGTGGTTCGGGAGGGCTGGAACAAAAGCCCGGGGGCGGGTTGGAATCGTGGAATTGTGGAGCGGTTTAGGTTGGGAAAGACCTCTAAGATCGTGTCCAGCCATTCCCCCAGCACTGCCAAGCCCACCACTAATCCATGTTCCCAAGTGCCACGTCCCCACATGGCTTTTAAATCCCTCCAGGGATGGGGATATCTGACAGGGCAGCTGTCAGGGGCAAATTTTTTTTTAAAAAATGGATATTTTGGCAAGGAGGGGATGAATTTGCGTGATGGGAAATGGGCTGGATCTGCCTGGAGGCTGCAGATCATGGCTGGGTTGAGCAGGGGGGGCACTGTGATGTCCGGTGGGTGCCACAGGGGTACAAACCTGACCCAAACCCTTCAGGATAGAGACCTATCTGCTTCTTTTGAATGTATGGAGTGGGGAAAAATGGTGCCCGTGCATCAAGCCTCTCTTCTCATCCACGGAATCTGCACGCTCGGAGCAAAACCCCACCTCAGCCGGCAAGTCCAAGCGATGTTAAACCCCCAGCCTGGAATTGCATCCAAATTTGTATTTCCAATGAGAGCCTGTCACGCTGCTCCAGCACCTCCATCTGAACCAAGCCCAGCCTCTCCCTGCCCTCAGCGTTTGCAGGATCCCGGGATGAATAAATCCCTCGCCGAGTCAGCAGCGCCAGCCCCGGCTGCTTTTCCAAGCAGGTTCGTGGCGTGATGTTTTCTTTACAGCAGAGCTTTGTGGCAGGATTTATCCCATGGCATCAGTACGAGGGAGGGGGACAGTATTCCAGCAGCCTGGGCTGGAAAACACGGCGGATCGAGGAATTTTCTCTGGAGCTACAAGGGATTTTCAGTGTGTTCCTGTGGAGTTTTAGTGGTCTTTTCCTATAGCATGGAAAACGTGGCTGGAAGAGCCAAATCTCCTGGAACTGCAGAGGCTGATCCATGCCCAAGTCCTCGTTCCCAAGTGTTTTTTCCAGCTGGCTTTGCTCTCTGGATGGAAAACCCTTTGGAAAACTGCCTGGGGTGGAGGTTCCCACTTGGATTGTGGGATGACCTGTGTCACCTCCTCCGCTGCGTGGCAATCCAGGGGGGCTCTCCCTGCAATCCAGGATTTTTCCAGCTTGGAGCCAGGAAGGTTGGACTGGATCTTTAAAGGTCTCTTCCAAGCCAAACCATTCCATGGTTCTCTGTTTGTTCCTCATATCGACGCTTCCGCCGGAGCAGGAACGACTCCAAGGGCAGCGGCGCGGGGTCCCAGGGAATCAAAGCTGACATTGTCGGAATGAGCAGCAGATGCTTGGAAAGAATTTGCCGGCGTCTGGCCGAGGCTGCTGGAGGCACAGCACCCTGGAAAGGGCTTTGTGTACCCTCTTGCTAAATCTGTGCAGCTCCAAGTGCTGGCAGAGCCCCCGGGGAAGCTCCTGGAACTGAGGGGGTTCTCCACAGGGACCATCCCTGTGTGGTCAGCTGATGGAATGTTCTCATTCAGCAGCAGGAACTGGGGTGTTTTCTAAAGAAATACCGAAATGTATGGTTTGGGTTTTTTTCCTCCCATATCTGTGTTCTGCTATCGGCAGCTTGTGGGGTTTCATCCCTGATGCTCTGGGAACAATCCAGGCTGCAGGAGGAGGGGAAAATACAGTGACTGGGGATGAACAGCCCTGGGATGCCAGAGAGTGACAGGACAAGGGGGAATGGCTTCCCACTGCCAGAGGGCAGGGTTAGATGGGATATTGGGAAGAAATTCCTGGCTGTGAGGGTGGGGAGGCCCTGGCACAGGTTTCCCAGAGAAGCTGTGGCTGCCCCTGGATCCCTGGAAGTGTTCCAGGTTGGGTTGGATGGGGCTTGGAGCAACCTGGTCTAGTGGAAGGTGTCCCTGCCCATGGCAGGGGGTTGGAACTGGATGATCTTTAAGATCCCATCCAACCCAAACCATTCCATGATTCTAAGAGCACCGTGGTGCCATGGGGAAGCTCTGGGTGGGGGCCGATGCCTGGCAGAGAATCCCAGTGATGGATTCACCAGTAACTCAGGAGTGGCTGTAGTTCTGAGCCAGCTGTAGCCCACAGAGCTGCCATGGGAAGATGCTCTCACGAATCCATTGGGGCTGCAGGATACCTTTGGATGGGAGCAAGGCACAGAGGGTGCCGGAGGGTGCCCTGGGATGCAGCTGCTTTGCCAGGGATGTGGCTCCTCCTCATCACAACCCGTGCAAGTCGCGTCACGCCCGGCCCCACGTCGGGGCACTGGAGCTGCCAGGCACAGGGCTGGGAGAGGACGTTTGCCAAATACCTTCAGCCCCGTTTCATTCATTCCTGGGGCTTTTAATGAACCTTGAAAGCAAGCTGGGTGCTGTTTGCCTGTTTGCTCTGGTCAGGATCAGTCGTGTCTGGGCACGGCCGGGATGCTCAGCCACGGTGCACAAACACAAGCACAGATGCAACACGTGGCCACGACGTACAGGGGCAAGGCACAGCCTCAGTGCATGGCCACAAGGCATGGATACTGTGGATAGGGGCCGTGCATGGCCACGATACACAGCTGTGGTGCGTGGATGCAACGCGTGGATGTCGGGATGCACCACCACGATGCGTGGATGCAATACACGGCCACAACACACTGCCACAACGCATGGATGCAGTGCATGGCCACAATTCACGGCCACGATGCTCAGATGCAGCACACAGATGTCAGAATGCACAGATACAATTCACAGGTGCCACGCTGCACCGCTGCAATGCAGGGATGCAATGCAAGGCCACGACACGCGGATGCAACGCACAGATGCAATGCGTGGCTGCAGTGCACAGCCCTGATGCAGGGCCACAGCACATCATCACGATGCAGGGATGCAATGCATGGCCACGATGCATATCTGTGACGCACGGATGCAATGCATGGGTGCCACAAAACACGCATACAACGCACGGGCGCGGCGCGTGATGCACGGGCGCGGCGCGTAGAATCCGTGATGCAGCACCACAATGCATGGATGCAGCGCGTGGATGCAACGTGCAGGTGAAGTGCATGCAGTGCGTGGCCACAATGGATGCCATGCAAGGATTCCATTATGCGTGGATGCAATACACGGCCGGGGTTCACAGCCAAGATGCGCAGATGCAGCGCACGGATCCAACGCGTGGCCGTGATGTTTGGAGGCATTGCACATTCATGATGCACGTCACCATGCATGGATGCAGTCCACAGGTGCCACGGCTGTGATGCACAACTGTGACACACGGATGCAGTGCATGGATGCCATGATGCACGGCCATAAGGCATGGATGCTACAATGCATGGATGCTACAATGCACGGATGCTACAATGCACGGATGCAGCGCGTGGCCACGATACCACCATCTGTGGTCTGTGGATGCAATGCATGGATGCCTTGATGCACCACTACAATGCACAGGTGCCAACATGTAGATGCAATTCACGGCCACAGTGCGTGGATGCAATGCATGGATGCCACGATGCACCACCACAATGCATGGATGCAGCACGTGGCCGCAGCAGAGCACCACAACACACAGGTGCCATGCAGGGCCATGATGCACAGCTGTGGTGCATGGATGCAGTGCACAGGCATGATGCACGGCCACGATGCACCATCACAACACATGGATGCGGTGCATGGAATGAGGTGCATGTTTGAGATACAGGGATGCAGTGCACGGAATCCATAATACACGGACACAGTGCTGGGCGAGGCCTCGGTGGTGCAGACCCAAAGTGCCGTGGCGGTGAGATAGAGCATCGCCTCCGGGTTTCCCAACTTCTGCAAAACCCCAGGAACCACCAACAACAAAAAAAAGGCACCTCGGGGCACTTTTTCCCTGCTGCACAAACATGCAAGTTCCAGGCTTTCGGAAGCCAAAGGCATTTCCATCTAGACCAAAGCAAATATTTGGTGACAAGGGAGACACTCTGCTGTCCTGGTGCCAGCGTAAATCTGGGGGTGAGGAAAAGGCTGAACTAGTTCAGAGTTTAAAGGTCCTTCCTCGTGGTGTCACGTGGGAATTTGTGTCCCCGTGGATGGTTGGTTGTGGGGTAAAAGGTGCTTGAGGAATATTCACCCTTGGGAATGAGGGTTGCATGGGGTCAGTGTCAGGATGGATTCATCAGCTCTGAATGGCAATTCCCGTCTGCAAATCGCTGTTAGTGCTTGGATGGTTTTATTTAACCCCAGTAAAGAGTTGGAACTGGAAAGGATGTGGGGGTCCTGTTATGGGACCATCCTTGCCTTTCTGCAGCTGGCAGGGAAAGCTCCCGCGTCCCACACCGCTCCGTGCTGGCACAGCTGGGTTGTTCCCAGCAGATAAACTTTTATTTGCTTTAAATATGCCAGGAAAGCCTTTCCTGAGGTTCTTCTGAACCCGAGCCTGGGGAACAAAACTGCTGGCTCAGTTTTTTTCAGGCTGGGCCGTGATCCTGCCCTGACCGCGGCGCCAGGCTTGGGGTGGGGGGTGGCTGTGCTGGGGTGTGCTCAGGGGTTTTGGGGGACACCTTGCTTCTGGGAGGGGGGGAGGATGTGCTGATGGGTGGGAAGGGGTGTGTGGAGCTGGGGGTGCCACGCACAGGGCTCAGCCCCGCTCTGTCCCGCAGGGATGGCGCCCGCGGGGACCGAGGCCGCCCCGGCCCGCCGGTGAGGTGCCCCCCACCAGCCCCCCCGAGCCCCGAGCACGATGAGCAAACTGACCTTCCACAACAACAGAGTCATGCAGGACCGACGCAGCGTTTGCATCTTCCTCCCCAACGACGACTCCCTCAACATCATCATCAACGTAAGGCAGCGCGGGGGATGGCGGGGTGGGGTGTGGGCCTGGGGAACCCCCTGAGCACTGACATTTTCATCACACCCGGGGGCTTGCAACCATTTGCACGCTCTGGTTTTGCCGCTGGATTTGATCCCGAGCCTGCCTGCTCCCGCCCTGCCGGAGAAATGCACGGGAGTTATTCCCCCTAAGGCTGCGACAGCGTTTTACGCTCTCCTGCCTCTTCTTGACTCGATGTTCCGCTGGCAGCAGCGTGTTTGTCGGCGGGTGACCTGCTGCTTGGCATCCCACGGGGTGGCACAAGCCCCCTCCTTCAAGCCCTCGCTCCACAATCCACTCTGGATGGCAATTCAGCCTCCCAGGGAATAAACAGGAGGGGGTTTGGCTCTGGTTTGGATGCAGCTTGGAATGCGAATTTCCCCCCACTTTTTATTGTTTTTTTTTTTAATCACCACTGCCGGGTGTTTCTTTTGATGCAGGAAAATTTCGAAATTGCTTAAAGGGAGCTCATAAAAAAGATGGAGAACGACTTTGTACACTGGCAGATTGTGTTAGGATAAGGGGGAATGGTTTTAAACTAAAAGAGGAGAGATTTAGATTAGGTGATAGGAAGAAATTCTTGGCTGTGAGGGTGGTGACACCCTGACACAGGTTGCCCAGAGAAGCTGTGGCTGCCCCTGGATCCCTGGAAGTGTTCCAGGCCAGGTTGGACAGGGCTTGGAGCAACCTGGTCTAGTGGAAGGTGTCCCTGCCCGTGGCAGGGCGTGGGACTGGATGATCTTTAAGGTCCCTTCCAACCCAAACCATTCTGGGATTCTATGATTCTATGAATGTTCTGTTTTCTGCCCCCAAAACCACCTCCCCAGTGCAGGGCTCCTCCACCACCCACTGCTCTCAAGCTGCCCCATGGTCCCTGGCAGAGCTCTGCTCTGCTCGAAGCACCCCAGGCTTTTGCAGACTTCCATAATGACCCCATGGAAAACTGAACCCCACAACCCAGCCTGTCACACCTCCATCCTTCTCGGGGTTCTGGTGAGGGGTTCAGTGGTGCCTGCCTGGCTCAGGTGGGCACAGGTGCAGCCAGGACCACTCACGGGGTGTTTCTTTTTGCAGGTGAAGATTTTGTGCCACGAGTTACTGGTGCAGGTGTGTGACCTCCTGAGGCTGAAGGACTGTCACCTCTTCGGGCTCAGCGTCATCCAGAGTAAGTCAGGGGCTCGTGCCGTGGGTTGGGTGGTCCAGCCTGATGCCATCGTTGCTCAGCAAGAAGTGACGCCACCAGGTTGGGGGTGCATCCAAATTTAACCCTTTTGGTGGCCTCGTTAGGTGATGAGGAGGGTGGGGTCGGGGCAGGGCTTGGCGGGATGCAGGACACACGTGGGGATGCTGATGCCACCTCTGTCCCACGCAGACAATGAGCACGTGTACATGGACATGGCCCAGAAACTCTACAAGTACTGCCCCAAGGAGTGGAAGAAGGAGGCCAGCAAGGTCAGCGGTGAGGTCTTGCATGGAGAGCTGACGGCAGTAAGGCCACCTCTGTCCCCGTCGCAGGTCACTTCCAGGACCCGGGAATGCAGCCGAGGGGTGTGTGGGGGGGGCACTTAGCCAGTGTGGGAGATGGGGGGGGTGGATGTGCAAAATGAATGAAAACAGGGTGGTGGTTGATGGTTGGCACTCCAAGTGCCATTTTTTTCCTTCCTTCCTTCAGCAGAATTTTTAAGGACCCTTCTTCCGATTTCTAAAATCAATTTTTTTTTTTCTCTCTCCCCAAAGCACCTTTTCATTATTTCAGTGCCACGTGCCAAGGGGTTGGTGTCAAGGCTCCAGCACTGGCACTGAGATGGGGAGCAGTGGATAATGGACTGGGAGAGGGATAGCAGCAGTGGTTGGGGGATGCAGACCCCCTGGGGGTCTGAAACCCAGCCACCTGCTTCTTTAAACCCAAATCCCCTTCGAGTTCCAGCGGACTGGGGGGGAAAAATCGGTGTCAGAATCTTAATTGAGGAAAAAAATGCCACTGGAGTGAACCCACCCATGTGGGGCAGGGGTTGGCCATGAAGGACATGACCCCCAGAGAGCTGAGGTGAGGGACTGGGGCACAATGCCGGGGTTTCCACAGGAACCCTGAAAATCTCCTCCATTCCAGGGGATCGACCAGTTTGGCCCCCCGATGATCATCCACTTCCGAGTGCAGTACTATGTGGAGAACGGGAGGCTGATCAGGTAGGGTGCACTCCCCTGTCCCTGCTCACCCAGGCACCTGCTGGGGTGGGTGTGCAGCCTCGGGATGCTGTGGAATTCTGCTGGCATCCCAAAAGCTGAAGCTGTTTGTGGGTGGGTGCTGAGTGATTTCTCCTGCCATACAGGGGCAGGTGGGGACATGGGGACACTGCTCCCAGCCAGCCATGCAAAGCCTTTCGGGGACCTGGGGACATCATGTTTAGGGATTTATTGGAGTTTAACCCTGATTTTAACTCACCTTTGTGCCTGTGGCCGGGTGGGAGCTTCAGGTCCTGTTTCAGGGGCAAAGTGATTTTCAGGGTTTTGGGGACACAGTGGCATCTGCATCCCCGTGGGGATACTTTTGGGAGGGATATTCCAGCTGGCTGCAGTGCAGATTTACACTGCTGAATGGGAAAAGTGAGCAAACGACTCAGCAGTCAGCCCTGCTCACTTCCTAAGAGATTCCCAGTGGGAAGAAGGTGCTGGAGTGGTCTCCCACCCTGTGGTCTCAGCTGTGGGGTACCCTGCTGTACCCCCTAACCCTGCAGCACCTCCTAATCCTGCAGTACCCCCTAACTCTTCTGTACCCCCTAACTCTGCTGTACCCCCTAATCCTGCTGTGCCCCCTAACCCTGCTGTACCCCTTAATCCTACTGTACCCCCAACCCTGCAGCACCACCTAATCCTCCTCTATCTCCTAGCCCTGCTGTACCCCCTAACCCTGCTGTACCCCCTAAATCTGCTGTATCCTCTAATCCTGCTGTACCCCCTAACCCTGCTGTACCCCCTAAATCTGCTGTATCCTCTAATCCTGCTGTACCCCCTAACCCTGCTGTACCCCCTAAATCTGCTGTATCCCCTAATCCTGCTGTACCTCCTAACCTGGCTGTACTCCCTAATCCTGCTGTACCCCCTAATCCAGCTGCACCTCCTCACCCTCCTGTACCCTCTATCCCTGCAGCACCTCCTAACGATGCTGCACCTCCTAACCCTGCAGCACCTCCTAACCCTGCTGCACCCCCTAGCCCTACTGTAGCCCCTAATCCTGCTGTATCTCCTAACCATACTGCACCTCCTAACCCTGCAGTACCCCCTAACCCTGCTATACCCCCTAACTCTGCTGTACCCTCTAAGCCTGCAGCACCTCTTAACCCTGCTGTACCCCCTAACCCTGCAGCACCTCCTAATCCTGCAGTACCCCCTAACCCTGCTATACCCCCTAACCCTCCTGTACTCTCTAAGCCTGCAGCACCTCTTAACCCTGCTGTACCTCCTAACCCTGCTACATCCCCTAACCCTGCTGTACCCCCTAACCCTGCTACATCCCCTAACCCTGCTGTACCCCCTAACCCTGCTGTACCCCCTAACCCTGCTGTACCCCCTAACCAGGGGGAGACGACTCTGAGAGATTGAAACCTGCAGGTGCCCAAAAGGTGACATTTTTGGGGGAGCAGGCACAGTCCACGCGACAATGACGAAACTGGCTCCTCTCCCCTCTGCTCCTCCCTCCTCCCTCTCTCCTCTGCTCCCGCAGTGACCGGACTGCACGTTATTACTACTACTGGCACCTGCGGAAGCAGGTGCTGCATTCCCAGTGTGTCCTGCGGGAAGAGGCCTATTTCCTCCTCACCGCCTTCGCCCTCCAAGCCGACCTGGGAGACTTCAAGCGCAACAAGCACTACGGGAAGTACTTCGAGCCCGAAGCCTATTTCCCTGCCTGGGTGAGTGTTCCGTGGTGTGGTCCCTGCTCTGAGCTTGAGGGAGCCCCCGGGAAGCGGCTCAGAGGGTTCCCAGGCGGCCGCCGTTCCGGCTGCATCCCTGTCTCTGGCTTAATCCTGGTTATTAATAACCTGGGACAACTGCGGGGCTGGAAATAGCTGTGGGAAGGGAGGGTTGGGGTTGGTGTGGGGCTGGAGCAGCTCCTGCACTGGGGGAGATTTCCCTGTGTGCTGCTGGGATGCTCACGGGGCATTCCCTGTGTGGTAGGGATTCCCTCTGTGCTGTGTGCCAGCACGGCATTGCCCCACCACCATCAGGTGTAGCCCCTCCAGCTTTGCAGTCCTTTGGGAACTGGTTTCGCAGAACCATGGAATCCCAGAATGGTTTGGGTTGGAAAGGACCTTCAAGACCATCTCATTTCACCCCCTGCCATAGGCAGGGACACCTTCCACTAGCCCAGGTTGCTCCAAGCCCCATCCAACCTGACCTGGAGCACTTTCAGGGATCCAGAGGCAGCCACAGCTTCTCTGGGCAACCTGTGCCAGGGCCTCACCTCCTTCACAGCCAAGAATTCCTTCCCAATATCCCATCTAACCCTACCCTCTGGCAGTGGGAAGCCATTCCCTCTTGTCCCGTCCCTCCAGGCCCTTGTCCCAAGTCCCTCTCCAGCTCTGTTGGAGCCCCTTTAGGTGCTCAAAAGCCTCTCTGGAGCCTTCTCTTCTCCTTCCCAACCTCCTTCTTGTTTTATTTTCCAAAATTTGCTGGCTTCTCTTTTTCTCACACATGTCACTGAGGAGTGATGGCCCTGGGTCCGTGTCCCCATTCACACAGGGAGTCTGAGCATGGCTCTCCTGGCCCGGCACAGGGGTCACCAGTGGTGTGAGCTCCATGGGCTGGGCACAGGGAGCACACATGCACTTCCCAGTGGGAAATCCTGCTGGTGAGAAGCTGTTGGCCTCTGTATCTATTTTATTTTTTCCTGCAGGTCTCTATAACAAATCATATTGCTCCCATTTCCCCTTTTCCCTTGGAACCGCTGCCCAGGAGCGCTGGGGCGGAATCGGGCCCTGAGCGAGCACGGAGCAGCTGGACAAACTTCTCCTCTCCTCCAAACAGGTGGTTGCAAAGAGGGGCAAGGACTACATCCTGAAGCACGTCCCCAACATGCACAAAGACCAGTTTGCCCTGACGGCCTCTGAAGCCCATCTCAAGTACATCAAGGAGGCCGTCCGGCTCGACGACGTGCCCGTGCACTACTACAGGTTGTACAAGGTGAGCCCCACCCAGGAGGTTTTGAGGTTTCTGGGATCTTATTTTTGGTGGTCCCCTCTCCAGGAAATATGTCACAGAATCACAGGATACGCTGAGTTGGAAGGGACCCACAAGGATCACTGAGTGCAGCCCTTAGTCCTGCACAGGACCATCCCCAAGAGTCATATGCTGGGTCTTTCTCCTGGGAACAAAGCAGTTTGTTTGCTGGGACATGGTGCTTCACAGGCCTTTTTGTAGCACCCTGAAGTTAAAAAGGATAAGCTTTTGGGAGAGCACAGGATGCTGTGATAGAATCCTGGACTGGTCTGGGTTGGAAGGGACTTGAGAGGTCATCTCGTTCCACCCCCTGCAAGGAGCAGGGACACCTTCCACTATCCCAGATTGCTCCAAACCCCGTCCAACCTGGCCTTGGACACTTCCAGGGATCCAGGGGCAGCCACAGCTTCTGTGGGCAACCTGTGCCAGGGCCTCACCACCCTCACAGTATGATTATATTATTAATTTGGCATATTAATCATACAATGGTGACTGGGATGACTACAGGAAGATCTCTGGGCTGAGCTGAGGCTGATTTCTCCACTTCATGCTGCAAACTGGGTATTTAAAACTGCGTGATTTTTTTCCCCCTTAGGACAAAAGGGAAGTGGAGGCCTCCCTGACGCTGGGGCTGACAACACGGGGCATCCAGATCTTCCAGGTAGGTGGCTGAGGGAGGGTGATGGCTCAGCTTGGCTCCCTGCCCCTGCCAGCATCCTCAGCCAGGGCTCCCTCTCCTCTTTTTGCAGAATTTGGATGAAGAAAAGCAGCTGCTCTACGACTTCCCGTGGACAAACGTGGGAAAACTGGTTTTTGTGGTGAGTGCCACCATTTCCACCTGGAGCAGAGCTTCCAGCTCTGGGGTCCTCAGCACAGGAAGGATGTGAGCCTGTTGGAGCAGGTCCAGGGGAGGTCAGAGAGATGCTCCCAGGGCTGGAGCACCTCTGCTCTGGAGACAGGCTGGGAGAGCTGGGGGTGTTCACCTGGAGAAGAGAAGGCTCCAGGGAGACCTGAGAGACTCTTCCAGTGCCTAAAGGGGCTCCAGGAGAGCTGGGGAGGGACTTGGGACAAGGGATGGAGGGACAGGACAAGGGGGAATGGCTTCCCACTGCCAGAGGGCAGGGATAGATGGAATATTGGGAAGAAATTCCTGGCTGTGAGGGTGGTGAGGCCCTGGCGCAGGTTGTCCAGAGAAGCTGTGGCTGCCCCTGGATCCTTGGAAGTGTTCCAGGTTGGATTGGACGGGTCTTGGAGCAACCTGGGGTAGTGGAGGTGAAATGAGATGATCTTGAAGGTCCTTTCCAGCCCCAACCACTCTGTGATTCCATGATCCCCAGGCAGAGCATCTCCTGGGCTCTGATTTGGGCATGGGGCACAGTGGCCCAGACCTCAAGCGGGTGATTACAACCCGTAGGTTAACCATGGGCTGCAGCAGGACAGGGGGGAGAAATGGAGTGTTTTCCCTCTTCGGGGCTGATCTCTCCCTTCTCCCACACAGGGCAAGAAGTTTGAGATCCTGCCTGATGGGCTGCCCTCTGCCAGGAAGCTCATTTACTACACGGGGTGCCCGCTGCGCTCCCGGCACCTGCTGCAGCTGCTGAGCAGCAGCCACCGGCTCTACATGAACCTGCAGCCCGTCCTGCGCCAGGTCCGGCGCCTGGAGGAGAACGAGGGTAGGTCCCCTGGTGACAGGCTCCCAAATCCCACAGTGACAGGCTCCTGCCCGGCATTTCTGCCCCTAGGAGTGCCTGGTGTGCCAGCCCCGTGGCTGGGAGCGTGTCGGGGGATGACTGTCCCCACGTCCCCCTGGACTGTGCATCCTACGCCCCATCCCTGCCCAGCAGGATAATCTCCTGGCAGGGCTGGGTGTCCACCTTCCCACTAGATACTGAGGGATACAAGTGCTGCTAAGGGATACTAAAGGATACAAGATCCAAGTCCTGCTGCCATCCCTGATGGCCCAGTTCCTCCCAGTGCCCCCGTGCAGCATTTCCCAGTACCCCTCATCCCATCTCTAAGCTCAGAAAGCCCTTGTGAAAGCATCAGATCTTCTTCCTCCTCTTTCCCCCTCCTCATCTTCCTCTTTCTCTTCCTCATCTTCCTCTTTCTCTTCCTCATCTTCTTTTTCCCCTTCCTCCTCCTTTTCTTATTTGTTCTCCTTGTCCTGCTCCTCTTTCTTCTCCTCTTCATCCTCCACATCTTCTTCCTTCTCATCTTATTCCTCGTCCTCATCTTCATCCTCCTCTTCTTTTGTTTTTCTCCTCCTCCTCTTCTTCCTCCTCTTCCTTTTTCTCTCCCTCCTCTTCCTTTTTCTCTTCTTCCTCCTCTTCCTCTTCCTCCTCCTCTTCCTCTTCCTGCTTCTCTTCTTACTCTTTCTTCTCTTTCCCCTTCTCATCTTCCTTTGTCTTCCTCATCTCCCTCTTTCCCCTCCTCTTCTTCCTCTTCCTCTTTTTTCTTCTCATCTTATTCTTCCTCCTCATCCTCCTCATCTGCTTTCTTCTCCACCCACTCCTCAGCTTCTTCTTCCTCCTTGTCCTCCTCATCTTCTTCCTTCTCCTCATCTTCATCTTCCTCCTCTCTTTTTTTCTTCCTCTTCCTGCATGTCCTAAATTTCTTTCTCCTTCTCCTCTTCCTCAACTCTTATTCCTCCTCCTCCTCCCCCTTTGAGGGGCAGCACAGCACAGAGCACAGCAAGTTTGAGGCCCCCCATCCCACCATCCCTAAATGCCACCAGGGCAGGGCTGGCTCCAGGTGTGTCCCCACGCCGGGCTCAGGTGGCACCCCCGGGTGCCCCTGTGTGCCGGGGTGGTCTGTGCCCTTCCAGGGAATCCAGGGAGCCCTGGGGGGGTTGGGATGCAGGCTGCTGACGTTGTTCTACCCTGCAGAGAAGAAGCAGTACCGGGAATCCTACATCAGCGATACCCTGGACCTGGACATGGAGCAGCTGGAGAAGCGCTCGCGCGCCAGCGGCAGCAGCGCCGGCAGCATCCGGCACAAGCGGCTCTCCCGGCATTCCACCGCCAGCCACAGCAGCTCCCACACCTCCGGCATCGAGGCCGACCCCAAACCCAGGGAGATGGGGCCCGACGACGGCTTCTCCGG